TCAGTCAAACTTCTGCTCAGCCCAGCGGCTGCAGCCTGTCTGGATAAGCCCAGCCAGTCACCCTCCTGGCCTCGCACTAACCAGGGGGCTCTCCTGGACAGATGCTGCCCCTCCCTGGGCTAGCATTTTCTTCCTTTGAAGCTGGAGATGCTGACCGAGCCAGGTGAGCTCAGGAAGATGGACATGCTTTGTGAACTGTAAAGAGCCATATTGCAAGTATTAACAATTTTCAGGACAAGACCACCAAGGAGGAAGGCCCAGCTTCAAGTCACAGGGTCTATCAGGTATCAGCTTTGAGACTGAGGAATCTTCCAGATCAAACCCCCATGTGTATGATGAGAGCCAATGAAATGTGGGAAATGAGAGGTTCTGAAAACCTCAGAGCACTATTAAAAAAAAAAGTCATTAACAGTAGAGATAATGATTTTTAGAAAGGAAGGATGCTTCCAATCTTTCCTGAGCTATTTCTAAGGAAGTCCTTTCTCCCTCTTGGGTCCTACTACCCCCAACCCTGTATCATACACTTATCTGACTGCACGACACATAGTGTTTCTTCTCTAAAAGGAACGACTAAGTTTGACCTTTCTCAGTGGGCTCTATTTTTCAGTATTTGAAAGTCTTTGCAAGTGCTGTTCCTGTTCTTGAAATATTTCTGCCCCCCAACCCCCAAACCATTTCTCTTTCATTTGACTGACTCCCACTTATCTTTCAGATTCATCTTAGAAGTCTCCCTCACCAGGAAGCCTTCCTCAGGCTCCTAGATCCAAGGAAGGGCCTCTCTTTGGTACAATCCCATGACTTAGTAAGTGCTCAATTAAACACTTATTAAATGAATGACTGCACAAATGGATGCATTGATCCAATAGGCTGATACCTTCAAAAAGCTTGGAACAGATGTACTATTTATGTCTCTCATGCAAACAATACACTTACTACAGATTGCCAAGCCCTCTCACACAGAGGGACTGGTGAAGTGTACTGTGTGCCTTGCCACGTCCCTGCAGAGTGCGGCGGTTGGTAGGGATCAGGACCCCATTGTCCTTTTGAATGACGGGAGGTGCCTCAGTCAAGCTACTAAGTCTCGGCTTGGGTGGCTGCCTGGAGGCCGGATCCTCTTTTCCAGCTAGCTGCTCCACGGTTTCACACTCACCACCCCATGGGCCAGACTCAGCTGATGGCCTTGCCTGCTCCTTCAGGGAGGAAACCAGCACTAACATGAGTCATGGACTCCCCTAGCTCCCTCTCTACTTGCCTCCCTAAGGGTTTAAACGAAGGGCAGTTCCTGCACAGTTTCAAGATGTTTCTTCCACCTGTGTCCTTCAGCATCCCTAGGACTTGCTCCATCTCTTCAACTTCTTGTCTTCCTGCCTTGGGTCTCGCTCAGCTCCTGCACACAAGAGCTGCTTGTTACCCTGCATATTCCTCCTGATTAGCTTGTCTTGCTTCTGCCTTATCACCTGCCCAATATTTATGCATCCTTGGGGACCCAACTCAGATGCCACCTCCTCTGGGCAGCCAGCTGCAGTCCCTGAAGACAGGTATAGTCACTCTCCTCTACCCCTCCAAGAATAGTACTTGGTAACCTCTATAAGATAGAGCATATCAATTCACAACTGTGGGGGTCTAATGATGATAATAACTATCTTTTTATCAAGTGCTCACTATGTTCCAGGAACTATGCTGGAGACTCATACACATCTCATCGGCAATCCTGCCTCAAGTAACCACTAGCTATGTTATTATTGTTCTTTTCCTTCAGCCTGGCAGAGCGCATAGGAAATTAGGAACTTGGGCTTGGGGGTCAGGAAGACTGGGTTACAATTCCCCAAGTCCATCATTTGCCAGCTGCATGACTTTAGGAACCTTACAGAACATTTTTGAGCTTCCCTTCCTAAGCGAAGATAATGGACCTCCTTTACAGGGTTTGGTGAGGTTAAAATGAGCTTTCCTAAATAAAACTCTTGGCACCTGGAGTTCCTGGCATGGGTTAAGCCCTCAATAAAGGCCCCTATGAGGACCCAGAAGACAGAGGACTTATCTAAGTCATTTTTGCATCTCTGGTGCCTAACACTGTGCCCGACTTCGGTAGATTCTCCTTGCAATTCAGGGAGATATTCTTCCACTGTACTGCTGAGGAACAACCCCGTGTAGCCATAGGGATCAGGGGCTTCCTCAATCCTGGCTTTCCTGTGCACCCCCCACTTCCTATTATTTGAGAAAAAATGAAGAATGACTATGTAATGTAAGAGGCTTCCCTGCTGCCCTTTTCTCCAGCCATATATGCACCAATAAAAGATGTATGTGCCGGCTTTTGCTATGCCCAAACAACATTTTTCAAATCTCTGCAAACCCTGAATGAGACACTTCCTTGCAGGCTGCTTTGTTTCCTGGAATAGTTGGATGCCTGGAATCCAAGCTCTGAGGTTTCATTTATTGTAAGCACTGGACTCCCTGACCAAATTAGGTGTCAAACTCTACCTGCAGATTGGGAAATTGGGGCTGGAGAAAGAGCCGGCTGCCAATTTGGCACCAAAAAATAGTCCTTCTGGAGTTTCTGGGGATCAGCTCCCAGTCTGTAACCGCCCGTAATTACTGGTTGGGAGATTCAGATGTTACTCCCAATTTCGCTGGAAAATGTTGGAATGCAACTGTCATACACAGGCTGGGATGCAAAGTATTTTTCTCAGAAAAGTGTGGCCTTTGGACCCTGGTTTGTTGTTTCGATGGACTTTGGACCCACAGGTTTCTGTTTCGATGGACTTGCAGGGTTTCTCAACAGGAGTTACTGGCATCTCAGTAATAATAATCGAAAGACATGTCTTGTCACTAAACCAACAAAAACCACTCAGGCTCTGGGGTTTCCCAAAGCCCCTCCTGGAGGGGCTCTTTCCTGTGAAGATGCAGGGCTGGGGTGTGGGCGTTCCTGGGCAGGCCTGATTCCCCTAAATCTCTGCAAGGTCTGTCCTCTGCATCTTTCTTCCCACATCCAGACCAGAGAGGAAGACACAAAGGCCAGCTAGGGAGAGTGTGGGTTGGTCTTGTGGGTGAGGTGGTGGCAGGCGGGTCCTATTCTGTGGCAGGCAGCCTTTCTGTAGGCTAGAGGATCTTCCGAGAAGTAAGGGCAGAAGGTTCCTTGCCCCACCCTACTGGGGAAGGGGCCTAGCGGGGGGGCCCTGGAACCTGCTAACCAGGATGTCTGGGTTCTTCCCCCAGCTCTGCTTCTGAGGCACCCAGCGGATCCGGGCAATTTGCCCCCCTCGTTGGTAGAGGCCATGGTAGCTGCTTGCTCTGACCACGTTTCCCGGCACTTGCCTCACTTCTCTGGACGTTGGGGGGTATTTTCGTGAGGTCCCAGAGAACCACAGTCTGCTTAGCTTCTAGAAAACCATGTTCACATTCATGGAAGGCTTTAGGAACTAGTACTTAACTATTATCTTTGGGGACTAGTACTCCATCTTACTGAAGATGGTAAAAACGTCCTGTGTACCGCAAGCAATTGGAGGGGCCTGATTTGAACCCAAGTCTGTGTCAGAGGTCCCAAGTCCTGAGAGCGGAAGGCGCCCCGAGGCAGGTTACAGGGCCCACAAGGCGGGCAACTGGACATGGGGGTGGGATGGGAGGCGCCAAAGGGCGGCAGAGGTTGGGGGTGTGGTGGTTTGACCACGGTGTAACTACCTTCAGCTGCCGGGCTAAGCCTCCTGTTACCTGGAAGATAGAAGGAACTGGGAGTGGGGAACGGAGCAACCTGGGCTTCCATGATGAAGAGACAGCGCAGGAGCAAAATGCCCAGGAAGGAGGAAGGGAGACCAGAGGAAGGAGGAGGCGCCTCTTCCACCCGCGTCCCCAGATCCCCATGTACGCCACGTGGGTAGGAGCGTGTCCCGCACACCCACGCGCTCACAGCCACATTCGCCACGCTCCTGCCCGGGCCGGGCTTCCCGCGCGCCTGTGGGTGCCAATCCTCCACGGGCCACGTCGCCGCCACCTGCTGCTGCATCCCCACTGCGGGGACAGGAGCACCTCAGTGTCTCCCTCGGTCCCATCGCCCCGCGAAGGCCTCCCATCCTCCAGGGCCGAGGCGACGTCTTCCCCAGGCCCCCTCCCCAAAGCAGAGAGGGAAGCGGAGGGAGGAGCTCGGCCCGCAGCCGCTGGCTCTCGCCGCACTGGAGCTCCCCCTCCCCGCCCCTCGCTCCCCGCCCCTCGGCTGCCGCAGCCCGGCTCGTCGCGCGCGTCAGCGTGGGCTCCCCGAAGCGAGTCGCTAGGTAACGGTACTGGCTCCGCAGACCCGGGGCCGGGGAAGCCCGCGCGCGTCGTCAGCAGCGGCGCCGCGGGGCGGGGGGGCGCACGGACCCTCCCCTATCCCGGCCTGCGGACACCCGGCTCGCTCACAGCCCCCGCCCAGGATGCCTTAATCCGCGCCGAACGCTGCCGCCGAGGTCCCCTCTCCCCGCCCTCCGCACCCGAAGAGACCCCGACGCCGCCAGCCCCTTCCTCCTTCCCCGCAGGTGCACACTGCTCTGCGTCCGGCCGGGTGGGCGCCAGCCGCTGCGGTCGCGGTCGCCGCTGGTAAGCTGCGCTCTGGGGCTGGGGCAGGAAGCAGTGGGGGGCGCTCGAAGAGCAGGGCAGCTTCGGCCACCGAGGCCGCCGGACCGGCCATGTGCTAAAGTTTCTGGGCCTCCGCCTCGGCGCCCCGCTGGGCGCGGAGGCGCGGTGGGTGGGGTAGCGCGGTCCTGCTGGCGCCCGCCTGTCCCCGGCCCCCGCGGGCCGCAGCTCTGCGCGCTCTCACACTGTCTCTCTCTTTCTCTTTCCCTCCGCGCTGTCTCCCAGAAGTCCTCCCGCCGAGCCCCGGCGCGGGGCATGAGGAGCCCCCGGGTGCCGCCCAGGGACGAGCCGGCTGCGCGCACACCTCGTCAGAGGCAGACAGGGACATGAGCAGCGCGCACGGGGTCCCGCGCCCGGCGGCCAGCCCCATCCGGCGGCTGCCCGCGGGTCAACGCTGCCCGGGAGAATGAGGCAGGAGCCGGCGGCAGCCTCCTTTTTTTCCTCCTCCTCGCCTTCCTGCGGCTCCGACGTTCCGAGCCCGGGCCGGGCTGTGGCTCTGCTGCGTGCCCCGCGCGCCCCCCAACCGCCTCCGGATGCGCTTCTCGGTAAGCCAGGCCCTCCGCCTCGCGAACAAAGCCCCCTTCGCAGGGCCCAGAGGCCGCCTCCGAGTCCCTGTCCTACCCTCCTTTCCCACTCGGAGCCTGGAAACCTTCGGGGCTTCCGATTGAATCCCTCATTTTCCCCTGCCCAGAAACCCCGCCTGGAGGCTGAACTGCCTGAGTGCCCTGGAGACCTGGTGCTTTCCTCTGCCTTCTGGAGAAAGATGTGGGCTTGAAGTGCAGGCGGGAGACCTGTCTGGTCTAGATAATGGCATGTGTATACAGCTGGGTTCAGACTTAGCATTTGGGGGCAACAACTTATTTTAGTGGTGTCGAGGCTGTGCCGGGCAATGCACCTCAAAGCCACTCTGGGAAATAGATCCTCGTTTCTCCGTTGCCCAGATGAGGAAACTGAGGCTCAGAGAGGTTGAATGACTTAATGAAGGTCACAAGGTGAGGAAGTGGTAGACCAGGACTGGAAACCAGGGTCCTCTCCTTCCCTGTCAGACTGATCCCTTTGTAACAAACACACCTGTCTCATTTCTTCTACTAACTGCGTCCGTCTCAAGAGTCATTTCATGTGTGTGAAAATACTTGTTCCAATGAGTTTCTGTTCTGATGAAATGAATTGCTGATAGCAGGCACTTTTTGTCCATCCTGCCTTCACGTTGCTGCTAACCCCTAATGTGTACTGCAAGTGTAAAGCTACTTTTTAGTTTAGGTGAGAGGCTAATATGTTTTCTTAGGTGTTCTTTTTCTTGGGATTCTGTTTTCCCAGGCCTCTTGAAGGATGGAAAGGACAGTGGTTCCTCCTTTGTGCCCAGCACATGCTAGGCCTCAGAAGTGCATCCTAAACCTTTCCCTGGGGGGAGGGCTCGTCAAGGTTACCTGACCCTGGTTTTGCATATCTTGGAGATGGTTACTTAACCTGAGCAGGGGCTGATCCCAGATCTGTGCAGGTGCTGGCCCAGTGTTGGTTCATATTTGCCAGCTCTCAGTGTCAGCAGAACTTCACACTTCTCAGCCCAAAAGAAAAGGAGTTTTAATGCAGATACGATGCCTGATGCATGCCCAGTTCCCTGGCTTGCCACCGTTAACTGTTTGTTTAAATGCATGTAGTTTAATCCTGAAGGGGGAAGGCACATGGAATCATTTGGTCCTGGTCTGAGGGGCTTGTTTCATCGGTGGAGTCACAGTGTTGAGCTCAGTTGTCTACACGTACATTTGTGCAGAGAAAGTCCCTTAGCAGTAAGGGGCCTCTGTGTGTCTGTTAGTGAAGAGCAAGGTTGGACTGACCGGCCCCTCAGACCCCCTTCAACTAAGTGATTCTGTGAGTGAAAGAACTAGTAAGTTACAGGCCTGAGCTGGGGTGTCTTAGTCCAGTCGTTTGGACTAACGTTCTACATGGAATGGGTTGTTGATTTCCAAGAATAGGACTTGGTATCCAGGGAGCTGCGAGATTCAGGTTCAACCCGAAAGAGGTGAAGCTTGAGCTGTGCTTAATAGATTATTTATTGGGCTAACACATGGTGGCTATAAAATGTTCCAAGGTGTCAAATTGGGGTTATGGGATAGGTTAGGCATTTCAGGAGGACAGATGACATTAGCTCTTAAGAACTGATGACATACAATTAATTAACAAGATGCCCAGCAGGCTAGAAAGCAGCAAGCTGGGGAGCTTTTCCTGCCCCTTACCCAGAAAGAATCAATCATATTTGCATACGTAAAATGGTCCCAGCCCAAACAATTACTGAGAGTAAATAAAGTGATTTTTTTCAGACTCTCCCAACTCCATTGTTTGCTGAGTATACTAGTGATGCGGGGAGCCTGCCTTTGCTTGACTGCAGAGGGCCTGGGACAGGGAAGGTGGGCCTCAAGGCTGTTCAGACCCTGAGTTAGTTTTTGGCTGTGGATTAGAGCTAAATCCATCACTTTGACCTATGGGCTGTTAATGGGGTTGTCATTGGTCTTTTCAAGATGTGGATTAATGACCCTCTTAAAGTGCTGCCGAATTCCAAATGAAATAGGCCATGTCCCACCTTTTTCCCAGAAACTCAGCTCTCAGTGGGTTTTGGGACTGTTTGAAATTCACAAAACCAGAGATTTTCATTTCTGACAGGCTCATAGGGTCTACAAAGGAAAAACAATGCCTCATGTGTGGGGATATTAATCTCCCAGCATTGTGTGTTTTAGCTTCGCATGATTAATTGGTAAGGTTTGGAATAAAAATGAATGCAGAGAAAGAATCTTCATTAAGTTGCTTTTGAAAATGCTAAGGTAATTATGAATAACGATTTTTGTGTCATAGATCATACTACTCACAGCCAAAGCTGAATTACATCACAAAACATTACTCTTGTTACTGATATTTATCTTTTAATTCATTAGTTGTCTCATTTCCTCCCAGTGTGAAAATAAGCAATCAAGAATAAATTCTTCCTTTTTGTCTTAAGCCCACATTTTTTTTTTTTCCTGTAAGATCTCTAAAGCTGAACTCTTCCCCACCATACATATAATGGCCTCATGTTAAAATATGTTTTAAGTGCCTTGGGTTTCTTTGGGAGAAAGAGAGGGCTATGTATCATAAATAAAAAACAACCCGGAGACATTTCCCTTGTTCGCCTTCTATTCTAAGTCAGGGGGTGAGACCATGCACTCGTGATTGCCGCTGCCACACTTGGCACCATGGGGACTCACCCTGAGTGCTGTGGCGTTTCTGCATCCGTGAAGGAGGCACACCTGGACTGATCGGGGTGCGGAGGAAAAGAACAGCTTCCAAAGGCCAGGAAACCCGGAGTTTATTCCCGATCCAGTTGTTAATTGGCTTTGTGGCCTTGGACAAATCATTTCCATTGGCTGGGTCTGGGTTTACATATATGCAATGGGTGTGTATGTTTGCATGCATATGTGTGTATATTATTGATACCAGACATCACCTTCCAATTCTAACTTTGAAGAATCCTCAAAATTGGGATATAACTGGTTATTAATAGCTCCAGAATGCTCTGTACTTTCAGGTTACATAACATTTCAATTAGACATTCCTATAAACAATAAGGAATTGGTGATTATAGAAGATATGCTATTTCTTACCCCACGTGGAGACTCTGTACCCTGAATGTGTAAAGGAAGATGGAGCTGTGATCTTAAAGGTGATGATACCAGCTTCCCTAGCAGAGTCCCCTTGCACGGTAGAGGCTCACCACAGATCTGAGAGCACTAGAATGAGCCATGACCCTCTCTAGGATCCATGCAAGAACCATTATGTAACTTGGATCAATGGGGTAAGAAGAATATGACGTTTTATCTGTGTAGCTTTAGGGTTCAGGGACTTGGAGATTTTACCTCAATCTCAGGCTATTCCTGGAAGGTAGGAAGAGGAAGTATGTAATTACTGTTTGCAGTTGTTTTGAAACTGGAGAGTGCTTAAGTTACAGCCTTGAACTGAGCTGAAGCTGGAAAGTGATGAGAAAGAAGTTTGTCAATTTGGCAGTGGTATTTTTGCCAGGTTTCGCATGCAGGCACCCTTGTAACATCTAAGGAAGTGTGTTGTCTGAGGTCAGGCTCGCTGGTGAAGCTGCAGTCATTTTCAGATAGAGAGGGTGTGAGAAAGGAACCACCAGCCTTAAACATTTTGTCCTTGCAACTCTGCAAAGTGGGTATTATTAACCCTGCGTTCTAGATGAGGAGCCCGGGCTCAGAGAGCTGAAGTGTCTTTCTCAGTCTCTAATAATTATCGAATGGCAAAACTAAGCAAGGTTTTCAATGGACTCTGCTGGGGTTTAAATCAACCCTTGCTAGCCCTCATTTCCACCGCTACTACAGTGTGTCTGTCCGGCAGTCAAATTCTGTCTTTCCTCCCCAGTTTCTAGATAGCCGTGGCACTAAAAACAGCATGCAGATGATTTGACGTCAGTAACATATGGAGGTGACTTTGCTGTCAATAAACTTCTAAATCCTCCAGGACTTTTGTGAGGAGGTTAGATTTTTTTTAACTGCACGATGCCAAATGTGTCTATTTCCAAAATGATCCCTAAATAAGCCAGTATAAACCCTAAAAGGGTTAGTGCTGGTAGTTCTTTGGGAAAAGCTAAAAGAATTCCTCTGGGTCCCACGTTCATCCCCCTGGGGTTCTGTGGGAGGTGAACACAAACTGACGTATGGGATGTCAGTCTGAGAAGTTGTCGCTAGGCTGCGCCTCCTAAAAAGGGGACACAATAAAAGTAACAGATGCTTTCAAAAGAACCATTTCTCCTCCTCCAGGATGTCCATGAGTTAATCCTCCCCCAAACAACAGACTAGAGAAGATACTCAGAGGAACATATGTAAGACCCTCACGGTTCACCTACAGCTCTTAGGAATTTCTGGGACTCAGGAGGAAAGGTAGGTCTCACCTAGTAGAGATGCCATCATATCTGATGTTGGGGATGGCTTTCAGAATGTCACTCATGAGTGTAGCTGCTGCTGTTCTTCGCTGTAAGTGTGCCAAGCTGGCCAAGCATCTGCCATTCCCAGGACCGGAGATTCCAGAGTCCTGTCTGTAACACACAATTTACAAAGAGCAAAGGAAAATCCCTAAAATACTCTGGCCCCATCGCTCAGCTTTATGTCCTGCTAATGATTCTCAGGCTGGGTTTCTTCGCTAGCAGTTGATGATGCTTCCATCTCTGATGCTGGCCTTGCCCATGTCATGCGAATGATGTCTTCACCAACAGACCCCTCCTTCCATCTCCTCTGATCACTGAGCTGCTTATGTGCCAGAAAGCTTCAAGTTTCTTGATAGGTGATGAATGAGAAAAAGCAGACAGAATGAGTTAGAAAGCTCTACTGTAATTAGTCTATAGTCTGTAAAATACCACATCTCAGCAGTCAGCACACGTTTTTGATTTGGTAAATGAGGAAAAACAGTGCGTGTCCTCAGTGCGGCCCATGGAGTCTGCATCTTCTTCCCCCAAACTTTGAGAGAACAGGTGCCCCATGGCTTCAGCTTGGGGCTAGATTTCTAATATGTGTAGTTATTAAAAAATAGAAAATGCAAGAGTAGCTTTGCAGAATCACCAGAGGGGACAAGAAGAGAGAAGTTCCCGGCCTCTGGATGTGATTATTATGAATGGTTATCCGGGGCATGGTAGTGGAAAACAATTTCACATCATTTCTAGCAACAGGAAGCACAGAATCAGTTCACTGAAGAAATTTAATGGTGTTTCTTGTTGTCTTTGTATGTGGCTTATGACAGGTGCGGATGGCACTTCATGTGGTTGAAAACCTCCACCTTCCTAAGTCCTTCCTGGAGGCTAGGAGAGGCTAGGCTGAATGCCCTGGCGGACTGGCATTTTTGAAACCTGACTCCCAAGGTCTTTGTGAGGGTCAATGTATTCCCAGGTGCTTCTGTTTCTTAATAATCTGTGATGAGCTGCTATATGTGCCTCATTTAACATCACCGAGCAAAAGAGCAAACACAGAATGCCCAGGATATTTTTCCTGACATGCCACGTTTCTCCGCCTCTATCTGCTAATATGGTCTGAGGGTCCTGATCCACTTCTTGATTCTTTTTTTTTTTTTTTTTTTGAGACGGAGTTTGGCTCTTGTTACCCAGGCTGGAGTGCAATGGCATGATCTCGGCTCACCGCAACCTCCGCCTCCTGGGTTCAGGCAATTCTCCTCCCTCAAGCAGACCCGAGGACAACCGCCCTGGTGTAGAATCTGCATCTACAGAGACTTCAGCCTCCTGAGTAGCTGGGATTACAGGCATGCGCCACCATGCCCAGCTAATTTTTTGTATTTTTAGTAGTGACGGGGTTTCACCATGTTGACCAGGATGGCCTCAATCTCTTGACCTCGGGATCCACCCCCCTTGGCCTCCCAAAGTGCTGGGATTACAGGCGTGAGCCACCGCACCCGGCCTTGATTCGTTTAATTCAGAAAGTGGATGATAATGACAGTCATTTTTAATGATCAGTATTGGTAAGTCTTATATTTTTAAATGACGTGAACGCACCTGGAGAGCATCACGTGCAAGTTTAAAATGATTTGTGAATGGATCCAGTTTCCTTTAGCTTGCTCAGAGGGCTTTATCGCGTGCTTCTAAAACAGGAAGCCCAGTTTCGCAGTGTTACAGTCTAGAGGTAGAAGTGAAAGCCACATCCCGTGTTCTTCCTCTGAAAGGGAGTGGAAAAATACTCCCTCTTCTCAAAGGGAATATTGAGACTGTTCCTATCTCAATTTTACTGACAAGATAACATTGCTTTCGTCTGAAAAGTCTCTGTAGATGCAGCTTCTACACCAGGGCGGTTGTCCTCGGGTCTGCTTGAGGACGTCCCTGTGGCAATTGAGAGTGACTCTGTCCATCTGTGCAGGCATGGAGCCATCTCCTCCACACGGCATGCCTCTCTCTGGTCCTGTCGGATTACTGGGATTCACCCCCCACACACCCACCATCATTATTTCCTCAGGCAGATGTCAGGGGCAACAGTTTCACAAAGAGTTACTGAGCACTAGCTCTGGTCTAGGCACTGCTAGGCATTGAGGCTGCATTGGTGGACACAGACAGCTGTAGTGTGTCAGAGGCTGCTACTGTTTCTGTGGGCCTGGAGTGTTACCCTCTACTCTTTGTAAGGAGTCTGTTCAGACTTGGATGCATGCTGGGGCTGGTGGGGAGAACCCAGGCTGGGAGGCAGGGGGCCTTCTCTCTCCTCTCACCTGAGTGCCTAGGGCCAAGCCACACCCCCACTCTGGCCCTTCACTGGTCTCAGGTGCAAAGATGGGGCCACTGCAGGATTTTTCCAAGTGTGACCACTTCCTTGGAAACACCAGGTGAGCTTATTACAATGCATACAGTGGACCTTGCTGCAGACTTGCTGATTAGAACCCCCAGGGATGGGGGCCCAGAATCTATATTTTTAACCTACTCCCAGGTCACTGTCACCTCGGGCACAGTGAAGTTTGAGAAGCACTGGTTCTTATGGGTGGCAGATCAGTAATGCCTCTCCCTGCTCTAAAGTACTCAGAGTGTGGCACTCACCCTCATGCTGGCCACTGTCCCCACCTTTGGCCACTGTCCCCACCGTCATCCACTGCTGTGCTGGCCAAGCCACTTAGCTCTCTTTTCACCAGGCTTCCTGCTCTTCCTCCTCTGTGCATTACAGTTAGTTTCCCATATGGTAGCTAGAGTAGGCCTTTTAAAGGATCTCATTTCTCCTAGGTTGGGAGAGCTTCAGGGCCCCTGTACCTCTAAGGGCAGTAGCCGGGGTCCTTAAGGTGACCCTCAGGGCCCTGCAAAATCTGGCCCTCCATCTCACCTTTTCTGCCACCACCTGCCCCCTTGCTTCCCTCTTTGTGCCACAGCCTTAGAACCCACCCAGCTGCCAGGTGTTCACTCCGAGGAGCCACAGGACCTGGGGACTGGCAAGGCAGGGTGCCAACCCTGGTAGGTGAGGAGCAGCCCTGTGAAGCTCTGTTCTCTATCCTGCCACTACGCCGAAAATCCCTGCAGCCTGATACTCCTAAGCGCACTCAGGCAAATGTGTTTCTGTGCCTGCCCACCACCATAGTAAAAGTAAATTTAGAAGCAGCTCTTTAATTCCGGACACCGTGTTACAGGGCGACTCACCATGGGACTGCATTGTCAAAGTGGCTCGAGAACTCTATTTCAAAGGAAGTTTCTGGGTCTAGACTGCATCCCTCTTGGGCTGGACTATGAATTCAGCCACTTTTGATCCCAGGGCCCTGCCATCCGTCCTCCTCCTCTTTGGACAAATATTCACAAGACACTTGCTATGTCGAGTCACTGCGGTCCCCACAGTATGTGTCTGTGTGGTTTTATCTCTGACTGCTGCTCTTGCTTACAGATGAAATGGTGTGGTCTGGAAAGTATTGCTCTGGCCTTTCGGTCCCCTCCTACTGAGAAATTGCTTTGGCCTGTTTATCAGTAGTAGCCCTCTTGGGGCCTAGGTTAAGCAAACTGTACTCAGAAGTATCAATCCCTTGGCAAGTAGGAGGGAAGACGGACCCTGTTGTGAGATTGACCTCCAAGGCGAGCTGAGTGCATAGCTGGAAGATGTGTGGAGTCTCTCAGATGGGACGTGTGCTTGGCATGTGGGGCCACTCTGCCCAGCAGTGCATCGGAGTGAAAAAGGCCGGACAACTCCAGACCCTTTGGGGTCTGGCATCGCAGATGCTTGACCTTGGATCGTGTGGAGGGAAGCGTTTTCACTCTCAGCATCGGTCTTCTTTGGGATGCTTGCTCTGGACACATTGACCAAGCCTTCACTGAGAGGCCATTAGCAAGGCGGGGTGGAGGATGAAGGTAGAGATGAATCCCTGCCTTTTACAGATTCAGAAACATTTGGGGAAAACGTGTTATGTAACTACCTGTAGCTAATTTGAGAGATTGATGTGCTCTGAGAAGGCAGAGATGGGAAAGATGGGTTTGGCCGGGGGAGGATGGAGGCATTTGACTTGAGCCCTGAGAGATGAGAAGGAATTTCTTGAGCAGAGATGAGCGGGAAAGGCATTTCACATAGGAGGGCAAGTGTGAGCAGAAGCTCAGTGGCCTGTTTGTTGGTTAGAGGGGACTGGTTGGTTGTAGGTCTGTAGTCAGGCTGGGACTACGGGGCAGAGACGAGGCTGGGTCACTCCTGCTTAGATGGGAGTGGGTCTTGAATGCTAGATTCGGGAGTGTTCCACATCTTACAGGTGACAGGAAGCTGTGGGAGGGGTTTGAATGAGGGTTTGTGTTTACAAAAAATAGCTGGTAGCCCTGTTGATGACCCCCCCATACCCTCTATATTATAGGATAGTGAAGATGTGTAAAACATTCAAGAGGAAATACTGTGCAGAAATGAGCGTGGTAGTCCCAGGTGTCCTCAGGCACCGTTTTTCTGATTGCGGTGTCTCTGCTTGTCTATCTGTTGACTGACCCTCTGGGCCCTGCCGCCCAGGCCCCAACTTTGCCAACCCCGCTGGGGCTCAGAAGGAAAGCCAGGTAGTTGCTGGCTTCAGCACTTGCTGCCCAGCCATTGTGGACTCTAGCCAACAGGAAATGGAGCGGGCAGTGTCCCAGCCTGATTCACCGAGCCGTGGGTCTCCCTGTGCCTCTGCAAATGCATTCAGGCTGCTCCTGGCCTAAAAACAATGCTCCCAGACCCACATCCACAGCTGAAAGAATCCAGGGCACACTTTACCAGCCAGCTTCCCCCAGCAGTGGGCTCAGTGGGTGGGAAAGGGGGTCATGGTCTGGAATCAAAGGCTGGTGCCACTCAGTGACCATTCGCTTTGTAATCAACATGCTCAGCAGGGCCAGTGACTTTTGCAGACCTGGCTGGACAGAGGAACATGAGGAAGGGAAGAAGTGTCTCGGGCTCACGGGTGGTTATACTACCCT